AAGCTTTATGAACTTTAGAATTTCAAACTTCAACTTTCGATGTTTAAACCTATCAAATTACATCCGATTGACCTCAAATTTTGCACACAAGTCATATTTGACATTATGGACCTACTCCAACTTCCGGAATCGGAATCCGACTCCGATATCAAAAAGTCCACTTCCTGTCAAACTTCTCAAAAACCTTCAAATTTCTATCTTTAGCCATATGACTTCAAAATGACCTATGGACCTCCGAATTCGCTTCTGATCGCGCTCCCAATGCCAGAATCAGCATACGGAACTATTCCCAGACTCGGAATTCCAAACGGACATCGATTACACTGAAATGCGCTTCAATCCAAACTCATGAAATTTCTTCCAAAATGCTAACTTCCACAATAGGCTCCAAAACGCTCTCGGGTCATCCAAAACCCGATCCGGGCATACGCCCAAGTTCGAAATCAGCATACGAACCTACTGGAACCTTCAGATCCCGATTTCGAGGTCGTTTACTCAAAAATCCAATCTTAGTCAATTCTTTCAACTTAAAGCTTCCGAAATGAGAATTTTTCTTTCCAAATCAACTCCAAACTTACTGGAATTCAATTCTGACCATGCGCACAAGTCATAATACCTGAAGTGAAGCTACTCATGGCCTCAAACTGTCGAACGACGCGCTAGAGCTCAAAACGACCGGTCGGATCGTTACAAGTCTATACTATATTAAAAGCATGAAGTCCTTTAGCGAAATGCGTTCGTCTTTTTTACCCCTTTAAGATAATGTTCACACTAGAAAAAATAGTCATTTAATTATTTCCCTAATATGTAGCATTTTAAAGTCAACTAAAACTTTATTTAATTAAGTTTTCCATATTTGAACTACACAAAAAAATCTGATGTCCTAGGACATCAAAATCAATTAAGTTTGGCTTATATAATACAATAATATTATGATGTCAAGAATCTAAATGTTTACGTATTATATTTCCGAAAGGATGTGCATATAATACAATGGAAGGAAACGGCCAAAAGTATAATCAAACAGCCTGTCCATAATTTGAAAACTAATAAAGGCAGCAAAATTTTGATATTAAAATGAACAAATAATTGAGCTCTTAATTAACTAATTAGAGAAAATATTCAAAATTTAATTCTTTTTTAACTTCATCATATAAGTAAGTTTATTTTTCAAGTTGACAAATAACTTTTGAAAGAAAACTTGACAATTGTACTTCGGATTCAAATAATCTAATTTAATAGGAGATAAAGAGATATACCAATACGATTTTATCATTTTACTTATTTATATCAAGCATATACTAATTAATCCAAAACTAAAGAAGACAATTGAATAACTTGGATAAGTGGGGGCAAAGTGAAAAATCATAATAAAGCATATGAGGATTTATGTAGGACATGATTTCTTCTTTTAAGCTAGCTAAATAGAATTAATATTCATCATTTTAAGGACCTTATATTTTTTCTTGTAATATTTTTAGTCACTCATACACATTGGTTAATATAGATATGAAATATTTAAAAGTTCTGTACTTAAAGTTATGTGAGCTAGAAGTGCACTAAGTAGCTAGTTAGGGGACTAAAGTGTAATTCTTGTATTAGTTAGTTAAGAGGCGGTTAATACTGTATAAGAGGGGACGACCTCTTTGTAATGAGCTGAATTGAGCTCTTCTTCCTAACAACCTCTGTATCTCTCATTTCTCTCTTCTTCTTCTTCACCATTTCTGTTGCATATGTGAATTCCTTCTCAATTAGTGTAGATTTCATCATGGTATCAGAGCGTCGATCACAGATCCATCAGAATTAGAAAGAAATTTGTAGAATCAAAGCTTGACTGTAGCTCAACTGAACTCTGATCTGTTCATCCATGGCCGAAAATGAAGTTTCTTCACTGGATCATAATCATCCGCTGTTTTTGCAACCCTCAGATGCTCCTAGACTTGTTCTAATACCGCTCAAACTCACAGGGCCATACAATTACGCACTATGGAGCAGGGCGATGAAATTGGCACTCCGGGGAAAGAGTAAACTAGGGTTTGTAGACGGAACCTGTGTGAAGAGCACATATAGAGAGGCGAATTATCATAGCAATGGGAAAAATTCAATGCAATAGTTTTGTCCTAGATCGGGAGTACTGTATCAAATAAGTTGATGCCAAGCATTGTTTATGCTTCAAATACGAGAAAGGTATGGAGTGATTTCCAGGAGAGGTTTGATAGATCAGATCTAACTAGAATCTATCATCTTTGGACAGTTATAGCGACATTGAGACAATGTACTAATTCTGTAACTTCGTATTTTTTTAAAATGAAGGATTTATGGGATGAATTAGATGTGTTGGTGCCCCTGTCTTTATGTGACTGTTAGGAGGCTAGACCTTCAATTGAATATTTAAGATCACAACGTGTACTACAGTTTCTTATGGGATTAAATGAAACTTACAGTAACATAAGGAGTGATGTACTAGCAAAGAGACATGTTGTGACTGTTAATGAAGCTTATGCAATAGTTACTCAGGAAGAAAACCAAAGAGCCCTAGGAGTGGTTGATACACATAAGGAACCACTCACTATATTAGCAGGAAAAGGTCCAGATTTTAGAGGTAAAAGGCCAGGAATCATTTGTGAGTATTGCGGCTACAAAGGTCACCTTAAGGAGAATTGTTTTAAGATAATTGGTTATCCAACTGATTTCAAGAGCAAGAGGAAAAATCAGACTAGAGAAGGAAAGGTCTATATCTACAATGTGAATGTGAACAATGAGGAAAATAAGGTAGCAGCTGTTCTGCAGGGGAATGGACAGTTCTTCACTAAAGAACAATACAAGCAGCTTGTTCAACTTTTGTCAAAATCAGCAACACCAGAATGCTCTACTAACATGACTTGTATAATTTCCTTATTGGCAAATACAGGTATGTGTGATTTTGATTGGGTAATAGATATAGGAGCAAACTCATCATGTCATATATACTAAGGATATTCTAATAATATGAGAAGAACTGATGATCAAGGAGTGAGGTGCAATTGCCCACAGGAAATAAGGCACAAATAACTCACACTGGGGAAGCATCTATACTGGGAAATAAGACAGTTAAAAATGTCTTATATGTACCAGATTTTAAATTTAATTTGTTTTCTATGTCAAAGCTCACCAAAGATCTCAGTTGCTCAGCCTCATTCTTTCCTGATTTTTGTATGTTTCAGGATCTTTACAGTGGCAGGGCGATATGCATTGGTAGAGAACACAATGGACTATACTTGCTGAAGGAGAACATAACAGTAGTTGTAGCAGGTTTCTTGGTGAATAAAGGAGCTGAAAGTAAACTCTGGCACCTGAGATTAGGCCATGCATCTCTGAAGTCAATGCAGCATATCCCAGAATTGAAGAATAAAGTGGACATGTAGGTACAAGAAAATTGTAATGTGTGTCCATTAGCTAGCAGTATAGGTTAAAGTTTCCTTCACGTAATAATAGCTCAGAGTGTTCTTTTCAACTCATCCACCTAGATGTTTGGGGATCTCATAAGGTACCCTCATATGATAGAAAACACTACTTTGATACCATTATGGATGATTACAGTAGATATACCTGGGTGTGCTTGATTCAATCAAAGTGTGAAGTGTTGGTTGTAATAAAGAACTTTCTTGTTATGATAAAAAAATCAGTTTGATATTAATGTGAAAGTATTGAGGTCTGATAATGGTAGTGAATTTTTTAATTCTCAATGCAATGAGTTGCTAGCATCTCTAGGAATTATACATCAGAGTAGTTGTCCATATACACCTCAGCAAAATGGCACAGTGAAGAGGAAACATAGACATATCCTAGAAGTTGCAAAGGCACTAATGTTTCAAAGCTCAGTAGCAATGAGATTCTAGGGTGATTGTGTGAGGAAAGCAGTATACTTGATTAATAAACTGCCCACAAGAGTATTGCAAGGGAAATGTCCATATGAAATGTTGCATAACAAACCATCAAAGATAGAGCACTTAAGGGTGTTTGGTTATTTGTGTTTTGCAATCAACTTACCAGGTGGTGACAAATTCAGTCCAAGAGCAAGAAAGTCAGTTCTTATAGGATACTCTGAGACACAGAAGGGGTACAGATTGTTTGACTTGGATGCTAGAAAAGTGTTCATCAGTAGAGATGTGTCATTCAGAGAACAAGTGTTCCCTTTCAAGGAAGGAACTCAAATCACTGAAGATTTGTTTCCATGTAAGCCTCTTATACCAAATGATTTTTTACCTGAACACTCACTGCAGAGATCCTCTAGTGAAGTTCAGACCACCACTAAGGAATCAAACTCCTCCACAGCACATGATCAAATTGAAGCAGCCCAAGCACCAGTCATGGAACCAACAGCTACATCAGACACTTAGACATTGGATTCAATTGAAGATGCAGTGGATTCAGCTGACACTATTGATCTCACAGAAACCATTGATGTGTAGTCAGGCATAGATCCAACTCCAGGCCAGTCACTCACTGAACATGTGGCTACTGAAATAGCTGGTGTCAGAAAATCTAACAGGACTACTAGGCCCTCCATATGGCTAAAAGATTATGTTACAAGCTCAAACACTCAAAAACATCCTCATTGCATTTCCAACAGTATCTCATATTCTCATCTGTCAACACATTACCAAGCTTACTTGGGAATGTTCTCTGCAGCAATTGAACCAAAGAGCTTTAAAGAAGCATGTCAGGACCCAAACTGGGTAGAAGCTATGTCACAAGAGATCAATGCCCTTGAAGATAATGCAACATGGAGCATTGTTGATCTGTCTGCAGGAAAGAGGGCTATAGGATCCAAGTGGGAATTTAAGATAAAGTATAAAGCTAATGGGGAAATAGAAAGGTACAAGGCTATATTAGTATCAAAGGGTTATACACAGCAAGAAGGGTTGGACTATCATGAGACTTTTTTTCTAGTAGCAAAAATCGTTACTATCAGAACAATCATTAGCATAGCAGCCTCTAAAGGATGGGATCTTTTCTAAATGGATGTGAATAATGCTTTCTTGCAAGGGGATCTCTATGAAGATATCTACATGGAACTGCTACAAGGTTTCCAGAGACAAGGGGAGTATAAGGTCTGCAAACTACTTAAATCACTATATGGTCTTAAGCAGGCTTCAAGATAATGGAATATCAAGTTGACTGAATCTTTGGTGAAGGCAAGGTATCATCAGAGTGCTTCCGATCATTCACTCTTCACTAAGAACACAACATCAGACATTGTTGTTATCTTAGTATATATGGATGACTTGCTTATTACTAGAAGTAGTGCAAAGCTTATAAAGGAAGCCAAGCAGACATTACAGAACTCTTTTAAGGTTAAGGACCTAGGGGAGTTAAGGTACTTTCTTGGCATTGAAGTTTTGAGATCAAAGAAGGGGATCCTACTTACACAAAGAAAATATGCACTCCAGTTGATATCAGAAGTTGGACTTGCAGGAGCTAAATCCATCTCTACTCCAATAGAGCTCAATCAGAAGTTGACAACTATTGAGTATGATAAGCATGTAGAGGTAAATGGAGATGCAGAACTTGAGGACATAGGGAGTTATCAAAAATTGACTGGTAAACTACTTTACCTGACCATCACCAGACCAGACATGAGTTTTGTTATGTAGGTACTTAGTCAGTTTATGTAGCAACCAAAGCAATTTCATTGGGATGCAATACTGAGAGTAGTGAGATATGTAAAGGCAGCACCAGGCCTTGGGATTTTGCTTGAAGCAGGACCTATTGATACATTTTCTGCCTATTGTGATTCAGACTGGGCTTCTTGTCCTAATACTAGGAGGTCTATCACAGGGTATGTCGTCAAATTGGGGAATTCTTTATTCTCATGGAAGTCCAAGAAGCAACAGACTGTCAGTCGAAGCTCTGCAGAAGCTGAGTACATGAGTTTATTAGCAGCGGCAACAGCAGCAGAAATCACATGGTTACTAGGATTGCTTAAGGAACTATAGGTCCAGGTTCAGCAGCTAGTGTCACTGCATTGTGATAGTAAAGCAGCTCTACAAATAGTTGCTAATCCTATATTCCATGAACGTACTACACATATTGAGATCGATTGTCATTTTATAAGAGAAAAAATCAAGAATGGGCAGTTGGCACCACAATACATTTCCACCAATTTGCAGTTAGCTGATCTTATGACCAAAGGATTAGGGTCTTCTCAGCATCACTTTCTCTTGTCCAAGCTTGGGGTGCTGAATCTGTTTCAACCCCCAGCTTGAAGGGCAGTATTGTTATGTGAGCTAGAAGTGCACTAAGTAGCTAGTTAGGGGACTACAGTGTAATTCTTGTATTAGATAGTTAAGAGGTGATTAATACTGTATAAGAGGGGACCACCTCTTTGTAATGAGCTGAATTGACTCTTCTTCCTAACGACCTCTGTATCTCTCATTTCTCTCTTCTTCTTCTTCATCATTTCTGTTGCATGTGTGAATTCCTTCTCAATTAGTGTAGATTTCATCAGTACTCATGAATATAAGGTACACGCGCAAAGCACGTACTCAAACATTTCCCGTCTGTTTTGCTTTAACATTTTCTTTAGGTAAGAAGCGATTCTTGTACCTTGAGTTCTACTCCTTCCCTTATATATCGTGAAACACATTTCCCTCTGAGTCTTTATCACACCAAAACTAGAGGTGAGGCATCTCACTTTTTTAATGGCGTTGTGAGCAAGAAAAGCCGCGAAAAAAGAAGTAAAGTGTGAGGAATTAATGGAATAGTAATCAGAACACTAGCTAGTTTCACAACCTTTCATCCTTAAAGTAAAAAATCATGACAAATGAAAAAAGAATATGTACATTACTTGCTTTCAACTCCACCTTCTCACAGTACTATATGTAAAATTAATACACTTATTTAATTCCTTGATAATTATATATACTTAGAAGAACTAGGTATTATACACATAACATTAAACAATGATAAAAATGCCACCACCAGCTCGCTCCTTGATATTTGCAGTCGTCCTTTTCTTGTTTTTATCAGTATTTTCATTCAGTACAACTAATGCTCATAGTTGCACAGAGGGATTCTTGTCAGAAGCGAAGCGGAGAAATCTAGTAGTAACATTTTGCAAGCGATATCAAGAAAGCAACGGAGTTGAAATAGCCATGAAGCTAAAGGAAAAATCTCGTAGGCTCGACATAATGGTGGGAGCTAAGTTAGAAAAAGAAACAGGGTGGCTAGCCTGGGGTTTGAACCCTGGTCCAGAAGCTAGAATGGTTGGCACACAAGCCCTCATTGGTATCAAGAACAATAGCAATTTACTTTGGGATACTTACAACGTCACCACCTATACAAAGTTAGGTTGTCAACTCTTGCCTTCACCAATTGACTTGAACATTAGCAATTTTAATTTTAGTTACATTGATTATCTTCAGTATCATGTCATAGAAGCAACTATTGTTCTTGATCCATTTAAATATGATTTGTCGAGATTAAATCATGTGTGGCAAGTTGGAGTTGATATGGATGCAGTAGGGAAGGAACCAAAGATGCATGCTAAAGAACTCAGGAATTATGATAGTACTGAGACAATTAACTTGATGACTGGTAAAGGTCGAGGCAATAGAGTTCATACATCTCACCTCATAAGACAAGTAAGCCTAAGCTTCTCTTACTTTTGAGTTTTTTTTTTAGTTTCCCCTTGATTTATCTCTTTGTCATGCCCAATTATAGAAAGCACCCATTTTATGTAACTTTAGAGAGAAATTCTACTAACTACACTAAAAGGACTTTCTGGTTAAAAAACAAGCTTATTATATTGGTCAACGCATGTATTTGCATAATAAAATGCAAGAAGAAGAAGAAGAAAGCGATAACGAAAAAGGTTACGCTGTTATCCCTTTTCTTTTATTTTATGTAAATTTCTTTCCTTATTAGCATGTTTAAAAGAGAACATACATTTCTTATATTTAGAAATAGGATAATAACACTTTTGGACTCTCAATTATTGTCAAACTACGTATCGTTTGGTAAATGATTTAAAATTATCCTATGTCTAATTTTTGGTTCAAAAATACCCTGGTGGGCCCTGCTTTAATGCGTTGGCAATATTTTATAGTGGGTAATATTACCCGCCCCAATTACTTTGGATAGATGTGTTTTATACCCTCCCTCTTCCTTCTTTCTCCTGCCAAAGGAAGCACTCCATCTCTTGAATTTCCACCATTAAAACATAGTTAGAGACTCAATCACTTTTTTCCTCCCTTTTTCTTCTTTCCACCGAAAAGATTCACAACATTTATAACACGTTTAGCTTATTTTGAGAAGTGCTGTTTTTCAAAAGTGCTTTTCTCAAAAGTACTTTTGATGAGAAACAGTTTGTGTTTGGCCAATTAGTTTGAAAAACACCTCTGAGCAGCAATTAGTGTTTGGCCAAGCTTTAAAAAACTGCTTCTAAGTGTATTTTTCTCAAAGTGCTTCTCAAAAAAGTGTTTTTGGAGAGAAACTACTTTTTCTCTTCTCCAAAACTGTTTTTGCTTCTCTCCAAAAGCACTTTTTTTTCCTTCCAAAAACTTGGCCAAACACCTCAATTTTTGACCAAAAGTGCTTTTGGCCAAAAAAAAAAATTTGGCCAAAAAGAAGCTTGGCCAAACAGGCTATTAATTAAACTCAATCCATATATTCAATTTGTCTTCTTCTTGGTTCTTTCGAATTCAACCAAATACAGTTTCTTGTCAAGACGTATTTTAGGTACTAAAGATGGGTGTCAACATATGCATGACATTGACCAATACCCATTCAATTTGCTGTCAACGTTTCACCTAATTCCATGTTAAAAATGTGGTTGAAACTAGACCTCGAAGTTCCATTCGCAATATTCAGAAAATAAAACACAACTGTAACTTACAAGAAAAAAAGAAGAACATTTGTTGAGCTTGAATGGAGTAAAACTTGAAGGAACCTTTTTCTCTTTTTATTTGTTTAAATATTGAAGGCTGGTTAAGGGAAATCTTGAGCACATTGTAGCAATATTACAAAAAGGGCTTGTTTTTCCACACTTACATGGTGTTTGGCTAAGCTTATAAGCTGGTCAAACTAGCTTATAAAATTTTTCTGCTTATCTACGTGTTTGGTAAAGTTAAAAGTGCTTATAAGTCAAAAATAAGCCAAAAGCCATAAGCTGGTCACCCTCAGCTTATGAAATTTTAGTTTATAAGCACTTTAAGTTTGACCAAGGTTTTTATTATTTTATCCTTAAAATATTCCTTTTTAGAACAAAATTCTTATATCGATACTCACTGCCTCAAGTATTTTATCAACCTAACCCCCCCCCCCCCCCCCCCTCTCCTCTCGTGCCTCTTTAAGTATGCAATTCTCATTGACTATTTAAGATAAGCAAATTCTCTATTCCTATGCACATTTATATCTATGTAATTGTGTATTAATCTTTGAATTGTATGTAATAAATAAGGACATATCAAATTTTTGGTATATTGCTTTCTAAGTGTTGTGGTGATGAAAACATTGTTTCTCTTCAAATATTTTGTTCTATTTATATTTATTTTTTACTTAATTTTTTTTGTCAATTTATTAATTATTGTAACTTATGATTATATGATTATCATAAAATTATCTTATCTAAGCATAGTTGTATTTAAAATAAAATGATAAATAGAATATTTTGTATTTGAATCGATTTGGAATCTAAAATTTTGAAGAAATTACACCCTTCTAAGTGTAAATAGTTCTAAGTTTATTTAAGTCATTTTAACAGAAAAAGAGTTTATCAGCACTTTTTTATCAAATACTACAACAACTTATTATCAATTCCAGCACTTGTACCCAAACACGTAACTGCTTATTTATTAAATCAGTCTCAGCACTTAAAATTGCTTTTCAACACCTACTGCTTATCAGCTACTTCAAATCAGCTCATCCAAACAGGCTCTTAAAAGCACATCCATTTTCATAAACAGATCAGCTCCTTATAGTTAGCTTTTTCTATAGATTAATAGAATTTGACCTGTAGGCGAGAGAGAAGCAGGTCAAAAGGGGCGGGTATATTATACCCCTATATATGGACGGAAACCAAAAGCCACGTGGCCCAATAAAATGTTACCAGCGCATTAAAAGTGGGGCCCACAGATTTTGCCATTAAATCAAGGGATAATTTTAGCAATAGAAATAACCATGAGAGTATTTTTTGACCAAAAATGGACGGACGATAATTTTAAATCCTTTACCAAATGACATAGATAGGTTTGATCCTTTTCCGTAATTTTAATTTTCATCCCTTTATATATGAAATATGTTACATTTAGATCAGTTTTAGAACTATATATGGAGTTACAATACAAATTAAACTAAGTATAATACATGTATAGTCAAATGATTGTCATGGTACATAATTTGTTAATTTAAAAAGATTCATAAGTCAGGGGATCAAAAGCGCAGATTTCAATTACTTGAAGGTTAAATTTGCTTGACAATTCTTAGAAGGATCACTACAAAAATTGGCCAACATTTGAGGGACTAAAAATGCAAATCTTCCTTTGAGAATAATTTTATTTTAAACTTTTGTTTTTATTCTTATTATCATGATTTTATAGTTACGAAAATGTCATAGCTTGTTTAATACCCTAAGTTTCAATTTTTTCCTTTCTCAAATTCTGTATACAATCTTGAAAAAAAAAATGTGTCTAGTCAAATAAGTTCAAATGTATAAAATGAACTGCAGGGAGGAAATTTTAAAACTTTCTTTAAAAAGTTTATAGTATATAAATTAACTCCGTGCTCTTAAACACTATAAATAAAATTATAAATATCTTACTAGATTTTGATGCTATAGATCGTGCGACGGTAGAGCACCAATAAAGTTACCTGCATGGACCAATATAAACACTTAGAAGGATGTAAATACCCCTTATAATGAATTTTTTTTACACATTCTAAAAATCGCTATACATTAACGAATCTTGATGTATAATAGGAGAATCTACCATATGTC